TATAGTATATATTTTTACAAGGTAAAATAAATATTTGTATACTTCAAGTTTTAAATTAAATTCTTAATGAAAATGATTTAAATTAAAACACTAATTAAATTAAAAACGAATGACTATGTAATTAAATAAAAAATATATATTTTTTAATTAAACTGTAATTTAATTAAATTAAACTGAAACTTAAAAAAAAAAGAAGGTATAAACATTTTTCATGACCATATGAAACCTACATGAATACAAAGATATAATCAAATTTCAAAAAAAGAAAAATTATACAATTTTTACCAAATTGACTAAATTGATTAAATTGGCAGTCCCTATAGAATCACAATGGACTTTCATCACAGATCTGCAACTCCTCACCTGAGAGAAGTTTTTGGCCCTCATCTTCACCTCCTTCTCTATCAACTGCTGTCTGTGTACCGTCTCCTCCTGCAGTCTCTTCTCCGCCTCCTCTCTTCTTCTTCTCTCCTCCTCTAGCATGAGTTTACGGGCCTGAGTCTCTCGTTCCTGCAGCCAAAAGAGAGCAGAGGTCATTAGACAAGACTGGCAGTCAAAAAAGATGAATATGGTTCCTTAATACTGATTCTACAACTTACTCTGGACTCTATGAGTCGAGCTTTCTCTAGCTGTGCCTCTTTCAGCATCTTCTCCATCTCCTCGATCTTCAGCGCATCCATACCGCTGGCACTGTGAAACACATAAAACTTCAGTCAGTCATTAACTATATTGAGGGGGGAATTCACTATACGTGTTTAAACCAAGACCAAACGTGTTTAAACCAAACATTTAAATACTCTAGTGAAAGTTGTGCAACCGTTCAGTGATTTTACCCCTCGGTGATCTATTTGGTGAATGATGGAATGGAGACCAGTAGCGGCGAGATTATGAAACATTTCGTCATATATGAAAATACAACTGGATTGCACATACAGTACAAGCATGAAAATCTGCAGTGAAACATGAAATTAAGCACATGTGGGCTATAAACAGAGAAAAAGAAAATGTGTAATGGATTCCTCTAGAGAAGAGTCTCAGACTAGCTTGAAGCTCTATGAAGACGAGTAAACTAACTGTATGAGAACATTTCAAGTAAACACATTCTCTCCTGAGAGAGAAACAGCTGAAGGCCGTCGTGCCCCGGTCCAGATCCACTGCTTCACTGTACTTTACAGGCTTTTGTTTACAACATCTTCACACATTTCCCATGATAACGCTTGTAACTGAAAACAACATGTCAGTGTCAAACTGGGTTTGGGGGCCATTCAGAACTGAAATAAGAATGTCTTTGAAATTCAATTCCTGAATCCAAATTTGAAAATGAGAATATTTGAATCGAAATCGAAATGCAGTGACATTCAAAGAAATTCATATTATGGCTGTAAGTGTAGTTTATTAATAATACACTACTGTTCAAAGGTTTGGGATTAGTGATATATTTGCGTTCCTTTTTTTTTATAAAGAAATTAATGCTTTCATTCACAAAGATGCATTAAATAGATTAAAAGTGACATTTATAATGTTACTATTTTACTAATTACTTCTATTTCAAATAAACACTTTTTATTTGACTTTCTATTCCTCAAAGAATCCTTAAAAATATATCATGGTTTTCACAACTGTTTTTAACATTGATAATAACAATGTTTCTTGAGCAGCAAATCAGCATATTAGAATGATTTCTGAAGGATATCATTAATATATAAAATATTAAGAGAACACATTTTAAATTGTAATAATCTTTCACAATATTACTGTTTCACTGTATTTTAGATTAAAACAAAATCCGACCTTCATGAGCACAAAAAACTTATTTCAAAAGCATTCAAATATCTTTTGAACCCAAACTTTTGAATGGCAGAGTACACTTCAGTATGACTAATTAATTATGAGTTATTAAACATACATTAATATTAGGTATTTCCAGAAGATTACATATCAATAATTACTCCTAATTTGGTCACACTTTATTTTAAGGTTCAATTCTCGCCATTCATAAACCATTAACTCTGGCTTTTGCTTCAATAAACTCCTAATTTGCAGCTTATCAATAGTTAGTAAGGTAATTGTTAAGTTCAAGTATTGGGTAGGATAAGTGATGTAGAATATGGTCATGCAGAATATGTGCTTTATACGTACTAATAAACAGTCAATATGTTAATAATAGGCATGCTAATAAGCAACTAGTTAATAGTGAGAATAGGTCCCTATACTAAAGTGTTACCATTAATTTCAATCAATAAATGAAAATGTAGATCAATTTTCTATGTATTACTTAACATTTCATTATGTTTAGTAAATGAACTTTCATTTTATGAACTCTGATGCACTGCATCCCCAACATTTTCCAGAATGCTCTAATTTACCCCAACGTCTTTAAAATGGAGACAAACAACACAAAGCAGGCTTATCGTATAAATTATGCACTTTTTTTGTGTGTAGAAGAAAATCTGCTATGTGACTGTACTGAATTTCTTTGAATTACAATTAAGTGCATTTCTCTTCCTGTCATTCCAAATCAAATTCCACTCCAACATGCTCTGCAGCGTGACCAGTTCAATTCAGATACACACTCATGAACTGAATTCTGAATTTCACTCAGCCGGTGTTTGCACCTCATTCATTTCCACAACCCACATTTCCTTTCTCCTTTGGCTGATCTGTTATTTATAAATGTCAAATTCTGATGAAAGTATAACTGCCATATGTACATTTGGATTACTTACACAAGTGCAATGGATTACTCTATATGCGCAGAGGGGGATGGTGAAGAACAGACAAAAAGTGGGAGTGCATTTCTGACAGGAAGGGTGGATAAGCAAACGGTGTGTTTATGGAAGACGCCTTTTCGATTGTTGACATTTTTGCAAGCCCATTTAGTCCAATGTGTGCTCTGACTGTCCCTGTTAAGTGGAAGCTGAATAGACGACACATTGCCCGTTTAACCCAGCAACAACCTACAAGCTTAAAGACGTGTCTTCACGCAGTCCGTTTAACCCAGAAACAACCTAACCTGTAGCCTCAAGCATCAAAGCCGTTCATTTGTTCTTTCCTTTTCTCAGGAAAGGGGGAGGGATGAAGCACGGCTGCTGCATTCTGATTCACAGAGTTACTACATGCATGTGAATTGATCTCAAATATACATTATTTTACACATTTTCACATGGACGTAATATAATATAAATGTATAATAACAGACAGTATAACAAATTATATTAATTTAAAAATAAACATTTTTTATATAAATATTTAGTATATAAGATTATAATATACAGGACAGTTCAAACTGTTTGGGGTCAGTGAGATTGTTTTACGTTTTTGAAAAAAGTAATAGTAGAACTATTATGAATTACCTTAGAATTAAAAAGAAAAATTATAATATTTAACTAGACAATAGTGTTAAGATGAAGATTTGGAATGACATGAGGGTGAGTAATTAATGACAGAATTTCATTTTTGGGTGAACTATCGCTTCAATGTTTTTTTAAAGAAGTATCTTCTGCTCATCAAGGGTGCATTTATTTGATCAAAACTAGAGAAAAAGGCAGTAATTTTGTGAAATATTATTACAATTTAAAACAACAGTTTTCTATTTTATTATACTTTAAAATATAATTTATTCCTGTGATGCAAAGCTGAATTTTCATCAGCCATTACTCCAGTCTTCAGTGTCTTATGATCCTTCAGAAATCATTCTTATTTATTATCAATATGCTGATTTATAAAATTGATTCAAGAATTTGAGTGAACTTCACAAGGAATGGACTGAGGCTGGGGTCAAAGCATCAAGAGCCACCACACAAAGTCGAAAGAATTTGGCTACAGTTGTCGTATTCCTCTTGTTAAGCCACTCCTGAACCACAGACAACGTCAGAGGCGTCTTACCTGGGCTAAGGAGAAGAAGAACTGGACTGTTGCCCAGTGGTCCAAAGTCCTCTTTTCAGATGAGAGCAAGTTTTGTATTTCATTTGGAAACCAAGGTCCTAGAGTCTGGAGGAAGGGTGGAGAAGCTCATAGCCCAAGTTGCTTGAAGTCCAGTGTTAAGTTTCCACATTCTGTGATGATTTGGGGTGCAATGTCATCTGCTGGTGTTGGTCCATTGTGTTTTTTGAAAACCAATGTCACTAAATTGGTTACTATAATTCACAAGGAATTTTGGAGCACTTCATGCTTCCTTCTGCTGACCAGCTTTTTGAAGATGCTGATCTCATTTTCCAGCAGGATTTGGCACCTGCCCACACTGCCAAAAGCACCAAAAGTTGGTTAAATGACCATGGTGTTGTTGTGCTTGACTGGCCAGCAAACTCACCATACCTGAACCCCATAGAGAATCTACACACTTTTTTCAGGATTCTTTGATAAATAAGAAGTTAAAAAGAACAGCGTATTCAAAATAAAAATATTTTCTAACAATGTATCTTTACTATCACTTTTTATCAATTTAACACATCCTTGCTGAACAAAAGTATTAATTTCTTTAAATTCTTAAAATAAAAATTATCCCAAACTTTTGAATGTCAGTGTATATTGAGATTTTTTAAATGTTTTTTTTTGAAAGAAGTCTTTTATGCTCACAAAGGCTATGTTTATTTCTTCAAATACATAGTGAAATCAGTAATGTTGTAAAATATTATTACCAGTTTTTTACAGTTCTTTATAAAAATATACAGTATTTTTTAAAAATGCATTTATTTCTGTCATGACTTCATTTTTTTTAAAGCTGAAAGCTCAAAATTTAGAAATCTTTTGTAACTTTCACTTTTGATCAATTTAATGCAAATTAAAGCTGATTAAAAGTAATATTTTCTTTAAAAAAAGAATAATCTTACTGACGCAAAACATTTGAATAGTAGTGAGTATTAGATTAATTTGATAAGATTTTTATAAAATGTTTATTTATTTTTAAATTTATATTTGTTAATATTTATATTTAAAAGTGTATTATATATAGACTCGTATCATTTGTCATACTCAAACCCCTCACAATTACTGATAAATGCAATGTTTAAAATGAAAAGAAATTAGAATAATTTACGCTCCCTATGATCTGAAGTCTCACATTAGTCGGCCGAACACCCTATGAAGTCCACTTTGCAGGCACTATCAGTGAAAGCCATTAAGCAGATGGTTGACCATTTAGCTTGGGACAGGCATGTGGAGAGAAACCACAGAGCCGCCACTAATTCCTGTCACAGAGCCACTGGCTAAGCGCTCAGAGAAAGTGACTGAGGAAAGCATGTGGAAATGTCGAACCTGGACATGTTGTCAGGAGAGCAGGCCGAGTTGTTTCCAGTGGAGATGCTTGTGTCCATGCTGTCCGAGCTCTCCAGGCTGAGGGTGTCATAAGGTTGTTCCCCAGAAGAGGGCGCTGTGTGGTGCAGGATGGAGTGGTGCATGACTGGCCCAGAGGTGGAGGAAAAGGGACTGTTGAGCTGCGTTTGAGAGCCATGGAGCGCCTCCCACTGGCACTGAGCCTCTACTGCAGCTTTCTGCTTCAGCTCGGCCAGACGCCTCCGCTGCTCCTCAATCACCTGCTGGCCTGGTGTAGATAAAACACATACATGAAAGTCAAATCCACAGAGAGGATATGCTGTGAACTAAATGATCCCAAAACTGAACAAGCTAAGCAGTTTATAGCTGCCAAACCCTCTATTAGACTACATAGTGCTTTGAAAACCAAGTGACTGCACATCCATTTAGGATGGCATAGTTTGCTCCATCATGCCTCACACATACACATATAAATATGTGACATATGTGCGCTGAATAAACAGCCCAAGCAATACCTCTAAATCAAGATTCCTTTGTACACTACCAGTCAAAACTCCTCTACTCATTATTTATTTTTGAAAACTATTGGAATTATGTTGTAACGTTAATAAAATTAATTAAAAAAACTAATGAAACTGATTAAACTAGTTAAACATTTATGCTCCCTGTGTTTTTGGATCAATCAATCAATCAATTTGTAAAGTCACAAAAAGTTTACATATTAAAAATGCAAATTAAATATAAAAAAACTAATTAAACTCTTCTTACATTTGAGCTTTAATAAAATAAAATAAAATATTTCCCATGATTTGGAAATTTTGTAGAAGTCACAAAAAAGTTTACATATTAAAAACGAAAATTAAATACATAAAAGTAATTAAGCTGATCTTATATTTGAGATAAAATAAAATAAAATATTCCCATGATTTGGGAATTATGTAGAAGTCACAAAATGTTTACATATTAAAAGCGATAATCAAATAAAAAAAGTAATTAAACTGATCTGATATTTTAGCTTTATTAAAATAAAATAATTTGAAAAAACGAATTATTATATTTGAATTTTACTAAAATATAAAATAAAAATAAAATAAATAATTAGTCTTCATTTGTAAGTTAGGTACAATGTATGATTTATATTTGCATAAAAAGTAATTACAAAATAGAATTAAAAAAAACAATAATAACATTTTCCCTGTGACTTGAGAATTTAAATTTTTAACTATAAAAATGTTAACAAATGAAAATGAAATAATTTTAAAAAATCGAATTACACTGGTTTTATACATTTAAACTATGTAGAATTTGAATAAAATAAAAACAATTCAAGTGTGTACAACTTTTGGCTGGTAGTGCAGCAGAAGTGCTTTAAATATATGAAACTACAAGATCACTGATATCATGATTCAATCCATGCACAGCTATGCCATCAATGGAAAAAAAAACCTTGGTAAAAGAACATTTGGACACGGCAAGACCGTTCCAATGGGGAAGGAAGTGCACAAAACGTTGAGTTAGAATTAATGAGGATGCTGATTATGATGAAGGGCAGTCCAATGCTACACAGAGCTCGCTCTACCTGTGGGACTGTCCGTACTGGAGGACGACTCAAAGACGGAGGGCAAGAATTCTGTTTGAGGGCAAGGGACAACAAAGGATGACTGATGATCAAAAGTTAAAACACAACTAAGGAAATGACGAAAGAATAAACTGGTATCCCGTGGCCACTATAAATAAGGAAAATAAAACTGATGTGGAAAATTACAAAACAGCATGCGGGTTTGGAACGACATGAGGGTGAGTGAATAATGACATTTTTGGTTGAAGTTTGACGGCTCATCAGCCTTTTATGTTGATTTTACAACCAGCTCTGAAATGTCAGCTGTCAAGCTGCTGTGTTTCTCATTACCTTTCTGCTGGAGAGCCAGCTGCCTCTTGGTCTCAATGTCCTGCAGGGTAGCTGCCAGGTTGCGTGGGAGACTCCCGGTGCTGTTGACTACCATCAGAGGACTCTGGGTAAACAAAACAAACAATTATTTCCACCAGCATATTTAACAATAAGGAGGGGGCTAAATTACCACATTAAATGATGCAGGAGATTCTGAGAACTGCACTATTTACCCCGGCAGGGGTGTAACAGAGAGAATTTACCCTGGACCGAGGCTAACACAGACTCAATGCAGTATTTACCCTGGCAGGAGTGTTGCGTCCCAGTGTAGCTGTAATGTATGTGGGGGACAGACCGGCGCTGATTTTCGGTCTCGAAATTGACGATTGGCTGGTATCACTGTCCAGTCGAGAGCGGTACACCTGCAGGACAGAAAGAGTCGTTGTGAGTCGAAGTGTTGCTTTTCATCTTACTAATGTGAAATCCGAGTCATATTCCTTACATCAGTAAACATAGCATCTGTAAGATTTAAAGGTGTAGTTCAACACAAAATTCAGTCTTAAAGGGTTAGTTCACCCAAAAAAGAAAATTCTGTCATTAATTACCTAGTAATCTCGTAGCTTCATACAATTAAGTTTGAACCACTGATGGCACATGGACTATTTTAACAATGTTCTTACTAGCTTTCTGGGCCTTGAATGTGTCAGTTATGTTGCTGTATATTCAGGGTCAGAAAGCTCTCGGATTTCATCAAAAATATCTTAATTTGTGTTCCAAAGATGAACGAATGGTCTTACAGGTTTGGGACAACATGAGGATGAGTAATAAACAACAGAATTTTCATTCTGGGGTGAACTATCCCTTTAATTTACTCAATACCAGTCTAAATGTGAGCATGAGAAAATAAGATTTAAAAGCTACAGTGGAGGGGAAAAAAGTCATCATATGGTTTAAGTTTGACTTATAGCACACAAATATCTGTTTTGAATAAATGAAGTAAACTTGAGTGAAGTAAATCTTTAACATTTGTTTTTAATTATATCAACATTGTTAAATGTTAGACAGAACACACTGCTTTACATTAAATTATTAATGTTCCATACATTTTTGTAATTGTGATGATAATAATATATTCTTTGTTCCTTGATTTTAGACTATAAGGGCGCTTTCTGCATACTAGTGTTCACAACTTTGGGGTAAGTAGGATTTTTTTTTAATTGTTTTTTTTTTTTAATTGAAAATAAAACATTCTTTTATTTGTGAAGGATGCAGTAAAATGATTAAAAATGAAAGTCATGACATTTATAATCTTATAAAAGATTTCAGATCAATGTTGTTCTTTTGAACTTTCTATTCATCAAAGAATGTACCATGGTTTCCACATAAATATTAAGCAGCACATCTGTTTTTTAATATCGATGATAAGAAATTTTTCTTGAGCAGCAAATTAGCATTAGATTTCTGAAGGATCAAGTGACACTGAAAACTGGAATAATGATGCTGAATGGTTCAGCTTTGCATGACAGGAATAAAACACATTTTAAAATATATTAAAATAAAAAATTTTAATTGTAAAAATATTTCACAATATGATAGTTTTTACTATGCTTTTAATCAAATAAATGCAGCATTGGTGAGCACAACAGACTTCAAAAACCCCAAATGTTTTGAACAGTTGTGTATACAGTTTATAACACTTCACTTCACGATCCATTAACAAACATGCATGACCAGTAAAAAGTTGCTTTGTTTAAAGGAACATTTTACTCAAAAATTTAAATTCTGTCATCATTCCCTCACTATTATATCTTTCAAAACCTGATTGACATTTTTTTTCATGAAGCACAAAAAGAGTTACTTAGCAGAATGTTCAAGCTGCTCTTTTCCATACAGAAAAAGGTGATTGGAGATCATGTCTGTCAAGCAAGATTTTAAAAGCATAATCGCTTCAGTCTTTTCCTCATAGATAGCTAATTTATGTTTTGTCATGACAACTCTCAGAGAGTTTAGCGTGGTAATGTACATGCCAATGTTAATGTATTTGTTCTTGGAGAAATGGATCTGCTACGTTGCTAAAGCTGTGGTAAAATAATACCTAGACATGCTAGTGGCAATACATCCACAGACATGCTGCTGTGAGCATGCAAGAAATACTGCTGCTGCACATATAACATATATGAAATAACCCCCATATATAACATACATGAATCACCCCGTAGCAGATCTAGACAGGTGGAGCTGGGGAAGTGGAGGGCTTCTGAAGTGCTGCAACTGCTACAGCAACCACTAGCCGAGTATTTGAATGTTGAGCAGTAAGCTCATTGGCTGCTGATGTGAAAAGAAACCAATCGGCTGTGCCATGTGAACAATGATGCGATTATATCCGACTGAGTTAAAACCTATCATGACAAAACTTTGTATATTAGATAGTATATACTTTTTAAAGCTAGACAGTGTCCTCATCCACTCTCATTGTAACAGAAAAGAGCAGCTTGGACATTCTGCTCAACTGTGTCCCATTGAAGAAACAAAGTCATTCAGGATTGTAACAACATGAGGATTAGTAATAAATACAAACATAATTTTTATTTTCCGCTGCACTATTCCTTTAACAAAAGGAATCTGCTATAGATGGTTCTTCACACAACAGAAGATAGAAACCTTGAAAAATTGAACAGTCAAAAAAAATTCACTGACACAAAACACCCACAAAAACAACCTTACTTAGACACATCATTATACTGTAAAAGAGGCCTATGAAGATGAAGTGTGAAAATGTGGAAGAGCAGAGGAGGGTGAAAGAGAGCTGAGCTTCTGGCTGTTACCTGCGCAGGCTTGCGTGATGAGAAAGCTTTAGCCGGGAGGGGAGGAGGAGGGCAGAGATGTTTTGCATCTCCAGCTGCCATTACCTCCTGGTACCAGCGCTCTAAATCTATAGCAGCGATCTGAGGCCTGCCCCAGTCCGACTGACGCTTAACACACGCAGCACATCCATAAGCACAGAGAGAGAGAGAGAGAGGTGGAATGGTGGGATGCCAGAGAGAGAAAGAGAAGAGTGTTAATGAGCAACTGAAAGATTCGTTCAATGACTGAATGACACAGGTCGTTGGCGATACCCAGCCCTAACCGGGAATAAAACGAGAGGAGGAGAGACACACCTCGAAGGAGAGAGAGAGGGAGGAGCTGTGAGGGGAGGGGAGGCAGGAGAAGGCGGAGTCTGCAAGAGAAGACTGAAGTAATTGGATGGGTGAGGTAGGGGAAGACTCCACCTTCGGCATCCCATAGATCTGGTTTAATTGGCCGACGGTCACATACTCCTGACATCCAGGAGTGACAAGCGGACACAGGCAGAAGGGAAAAAAACAGGAAGTAGCAGAGCAGGAAAGAGAAGTTATAAAGTTAGCAACTACAGCACATAATTAAGTATAACAAAGCTATTCAGTTTCTAATTACTCTATGCATAAACATTAGCCCTAATACTGTGTCCTAACCAGATGCAACGCGAAGTTTCCAGCAGGTAGGTCTGTCTATAGTGAAAGTGAAAACAGCCAATCAGAACAAATTTAATATTTAATATACAGTTATATGGAGTGAGATTGTGACTCAATGAGATTTCTCGATGGGTATAGGGCCATCTAGCACCGTCACAGCAACCAAATGAATGAAAAAATGCAGCTGGTTAGGACAAAAACTAACATATAAGATATTGCTTTATTGCATCAAGCCTAGAGATTGATCAGGTACTGGGTCATTCTATAAAACGAGTGTCATTTGTGTTCCTTTATTTATTTACATTTAGATTATTTTATTTACATTTTCTTTTTTGCCTTCTTTTGATTTGTCCAACCGGTTTTCAACTTCTTACTGTGTAATCAAATATGTTAATTTTGATTAAAAAAAACTAAATGTATGAAATGAATAGCTTATTTTTTTTAAAGCATAGTTATATCCAAATAATGGTTTATTTTATTCAAATTTATATCGTATAAAAATTTTTTTTTATATATATATATATATATATATATATATATATTTTGAATTGGCTTTTGTTTTCATATTTTCAGTTTTAATTTTTTGGTAATGTGCTTTTGTAATTTTATTCTGTTGTTTTTTTTTCATTATAGTTTTAGTTTGATTTTAGTTTTTATTTTAAGTTATTAATTTTTGTGCTTCACCTTAAACTTATTTCACTTAGTTGTAAAGGAAACATTTCTTATTTTCATTCAGTTTATGTTTAGTTTTTTATTTAATCTTTATTTAAATTAACAAAAAATGTTTTTAATAGTTTTAATAATAATAACCCTGATCTGAACTTATTTTAAATTAAAATACAGTATATTCAATGCATTTTACTTGAGATCATAATGCACTTTATTAAAGCAATAGTTCACCCAAAATGTACATAATAATGTATGTAATTATGTATTGTGGACTCGTATTTTAACCAGAAGTAATGGTTTAAAGTTAAAATGCCTTAATGACAGATTTGTTTCTTAGAAACACACAGTTTTTTACTTCACAAGATGCTAATTTATGGACTGGATTCGTGTGGATTACTTGTAGATTATTGTGATGTTTTTATCAGCTGATTGGACTCTCATTCTGACGGCACCCATTCACTGCAGAGGATCCATTGGTAAGCAAGTGATGTAATGCTAAATTTCTCCAAATCTGTTCCGACGAAGAAACAAACTCATCTACATCTTGGATGGGCTGAGTATTAGTACATTTTTAGAAAATTTTTATTTTCTCAACTATTAATTCAACACTTTATTTGTCAGAATGTTTATGATAAATTACCGCATCATACTGGAAAAGGCAACCGTTTCCTAGCATGACCCTAATACTGTGCTTGGTGATGGCCATGTATATGATGTAAAGCTAACAAATATATACAGCACAAATGTAAGTAGGACTATAGGTATGAAGAAAGGAAAAGAAGTTTAAAAGAGAGAAGCAGAAAGAAGAGAGCAGATATGATACCTCACGAGGGGCAGTTACAGCTGGGTCAAGAGCAAGCGAGAGGCCGTGTGAGGAAGCGTTGGCGAGCTGGATGTCATGGCAATTACTCCCATACATCTTATAAACATCCGACAGCTTCAAGTACTCCTGAGACACGTTACCAGTCAACGCATTCACGCAGGACAGAAGTTCAGCTGTCAGTTTACTCGCATTAAAACCCAATGAGAGCAGTTCTGTCATTCATACACCTACAGTGACAGGCATGCCTAGCTTGACCAACAGCGACATGCCTCCATCTAACTTTTTACATGAATTACAAATTACTAGTTACTCAAGCAGTGCATCCCAAATCATGTACTTTTGCACTGTTCTATGCCATTTTGTAATATAAATAGTGCAAGTAGTGTGTTCACACTGAAAATTCCAAAAAGAAAAAGTGCACTTTAAATACCCAGATGATGCACTTAAATAAAAAAAAAAACGAAGTGTGGAATTTTGGACACTTCATGCATTCAACTGCTGCAGCTTTAATTACATAACAAAGGGGGAGGGGCTAACAGACACAATTTATGAATGACAAAATAACCTTATATAATTCATACACTACATTAAGTACATAGTGCATAATAGTGTATAAGTGTATAGTGTATCATTTGGGACGCAGCTATAGTTTCAAGTAGTCCAACTACAGTCAAATTACTTTTAAAAAAAGTAGCTGCAAACTCTTTAACAAAAAAGTCACACAAAATCAATAAACTCCTTCCAAAACTTCAGAGGAAGTGTGATTTGTCTTTGGAAGCCTCCAAACATCAGATCCCAACAAGCCAAGCGCTTTCAATAAGGCAACACAAATTGAGATGTTTTGTACTGACATGTTCTCAGAGCACATTTTAGTCAATATTGGCAGTTTTAGATGCTCCAGGCTGCATGCATCAACAGTTAGTTCAGTTACCTCCTGAGGCACCATGGGATATGAATGGAATGAGGAAGCATGAAAAGGGGAGGAGTAGTAAAAATTGAATTGTTGATATCAAGAATTCACATTCCGTGAAGGAATAAAAGTCAAAACGGCTTGCCATAGGAGTAGGGGTGATCATCGTCTAACAGGTCAGCCTCGTTGATGTGAAGCACATCCTGGGCGGAGGTTTATAAGTCAAACAATATCCTGAGTCTAAAAGATTTAATTTCCTGTTTCACTAACCAAATTATTATGGGACGGCACAGGGGACGCATATGCTACCATCTGGCTAAAAAGCTTAACCTTATAGCTCTCCTACTAGCCCAAGAAAACCAAACTACAAAGATGAATTGCAAAATGTTTTGCTAAGAAACCACACCAACCATCTGAAGGTCACATGAGAGCATACTGTACTTTGAAAAAACTTTTACAATTTTAAAGATATGTTAACCAACAAATACATTCTAATTTCAAGCAGGGGAACAAATATTCAGCAGTTATATCTTTATAACCTAACATGCTCATAAAGCATATGATTACAGTTCTGCTTACCTCCTTTATAGTGTTGGAGCTTTTGGGGAACGTCTTTCCACCAGTTAAGCTCTGGTATCTTCTCTCCAGATTGGCCAGCCTTTCCTTTTCCTGAAACATAGATTCCAAGTCAATCAGTTAAAGGGTATCACGGTTTCCACAAAAATATAAAGCTACACAACTGTGTTCAACATTGATAATAACAATAAATGTCTTGAGCACCAAATCATATTACAATGATTTCTGATGGATCATATGACACTAAAGATTGGAGTATTTGATGCTGACAACTTAAAACAGTTTTTAAAATTATAATAATATTTCACAATACAACTGTTTTTACTGTATTTATGATCAAATATGTGACCGTGGACCACAAACCAGTCATAAGTAGCACGGGTAAAGTAGCAATAGCCAACAATAAATACATTGTATGGGTCAAAATTATTCTTTTATGCCAAAAATCATTAGGATATTAAGTAAAGATCATGTTCCATGAAGATATTTTGTAAATTTCCTACCATAAATATATTAAAACTTAATTTTTGATTCGTAATATGCTTCAGATTCCAGATTTTCAAATAGTTTTATCTCAGCCAAATATTGTCCTATCATAACAAACCATACATCAATGGAAAGCATATTTATTCAGCTTTCAGTTGATGTATACATTTCAAATTACTGGTTTTGTGGTTCAGGGTCACATATGCATGTAGCCTTGGTGAGCATAAGACACTTTTCTAACCAAAATAAAATATCTAACTGACCCCAAACATTTTGAATAGGAATGTATTTTTTCTTTGTAAACAAAGCAATACATATACTGTAAGGAACAAAACAAGCATGATCTCAGTTGAAAAATTAATAAAAACAGAAAACCAATTCATTCAAATTAGTACTTTTAGTTATTTTCTCAATGCACAGATTTTAATTCAATCATTTAATGCTAAACTTTTGAAAAGTTTCTTTTTCCGTCTTTTTTTTTTTTGACCAAGCAACAAAGTAGACAATTGATGGAAGTGGTTTTGGAGAAATTTGGAGAAAGTCCTCAACCTAAAGTGTTCTTAAAATGAGTAAAAACATAAAAAGTGAATATGGTAAGTCATTTTCATTTCCTGTACCTTCTGTAGCAGCTGCAATGTCATACTTCTGTCTTTGGCCAGCCTCTCACACTCCTGAGCAGCCTGTATTCCCAGCTGATTGGCTTGGCTTTCCAATGCTGCAACTTTTTCCTGGAAACAACAGCTTGTAAATGAGTTTGAGACGCTCGTAATGGTTCCATGCTTTGTTATGTGTGTTTCATTTACTTTTCTTTTGGCGATGCTGCAGTGGTACTGAGCTCTGTCCTGCAGCAGCTGCTGGCTGATGGTCTCGCGCTCCTCCTCCAGACTGCTCTCCTTCTCTAACTGCTGGAACTCCAGGTCCTCAAACTGCTTAGTCACAGCCTCAAGAGTCTCAGCTTCCTACACACACATACATAAAAGCAGGGGGTCAATAACTAGTCAAAGAAACCCATAAACAACAGCACAATGCATGCTCCGCAGCAGCCAAGCTGAGTCAGCTTAAAAAGCCACAGGGAGAAACCAGGAGGAACATTATGCAACACAGGTTGCCAACCGTATCCAAATACAAATACATAAAAAAAAATATATTAAAAATAAAAAAAATTACATTTTTAAAAAATATTTAAACTAAAATATATATGTACAGTGGATACGGAAAGTATTCAGATGTGATATTTCAGTTTTTCTTTTTTAATAAATCTGCAAAAATGTCAACAATTCTGTGTTTTTCTGTCAATATGGGGTGCTGTGTGTACATTAATGAGGAAAAAAAAATAACTTAAATGATTTTAGCAAATGGCTGCAATATAACAAAGAGTGAAAAATTTAAGGGGGTCTGAATACTTTCCGTACCCACTGTATTTAAAATTAAATTACCATTTAAAATAACATTTATTAACTATTTATTATAATGATTAATTCTTTTCAATTATTGGTAACAGATAAAGAAACATAGGTACGGGTAACATTAATTTATTTAATATTACAGAAACCTTTATTATTAATACTATTTGTTATTATGATTAACTCTTTATATAATTCACATATAAATACACATATAATTTTTTTTATTGCTAACTCTATAACAGGTACAAAAATGTTAATGTGTAACATCAACAAAAATACATCAGCCAGATATGAAATCAGCTAACACTTTAACCATATTTAGAAATACATTTTAAAATATATCGAATATTTCTACATATTCTTAAGATATTTTTATGGTTTATATGTCATTTCAAGACTTCCTGCAGTATTTCCATCAATCCCCAAGGGTCCGGTTGCTGGTGCTACACACAGATCTGTGTGGATATAATACACTCTTCCAGAATCCCTTACTGAATGATCTATCATAATTCATACAACTTAAACCCAAGTACATCAAACATCATTTAAACAATCAGCTGGGATGGTAAAACCGGGAAAGACTGAAAAAACAGGAATGACATTGAGACTTCAGATCATAAATTCATCTTATGAAAAACATCAAGTCTTGTCATTTCTATATACAGATTGCAAGGACACTGGCTAACACTTGCTGTCAATTCATCAAAGCATTTCTGACACTGTGAAGCTTGAAGGCTCAGTGTGGACATGCCATCACTTCTCTCTCGTGCAACCCTTGGGATATTTCTGCCTGCTAAAAGGGCTAGTCATCAAAAACACTGCCCGATAAGATTCCTTCAACTATGCTAATCAAAATAAATATGATATTTCTTCATATTTTAAACAGAGACTTCCTAGTACGCTTTGTATTTTTGTGTCTTTTTACACAAAATACATTGAAATAGCATCTTTTGGCCAAAGTATCATAATCTGTGTGGTATATAGAGAGAAGTGCATGATTTTCCCCCAAACAAGTTACGTGCAAACCATTTAGCGATTGTAAAGATTTAATTGGACATGTCAATCATAGCTGATTGCCTATTTAATGTTTAAACAAACACTAACCTTAACCTTATTATAAAATTGGCTGCACTTCCAGATAAAAAGCAAGTTTGTTGATTTTTCTAAACTCTGAACTTTTATCGACTTCGCATGATTGATTTGACCAATGAAATCGACTGCGGGTGGGTTTTGCGCTTAGCTGGTTTGAAGGAAATAATCATGTGAGAGAAGTGAGAGGTATCAAAATAAAACTAGCACTACGTTAGTTTCTGCATTAATAGATTAGTACATTGTTAAGTGTTATTAATATTTTGGCACCAGACAGTAGCATGTAAGAAACCTCAAAAATACACACAAAAACATGCAAAATCTTACCAATTAACACCACTTTACCTCCCATAAGATATTTAGACACTTTCAGACAAGAATAAAAACATGGTGTTCCCAGCAGAAATCATTCTTAATAATAATAAACATTGAATAATGTTTCTACTAGGATCATCGTGGTGGATTTGGTGCATAGACAACCCAAAAGAGCTTAGTTGGGAATGTGTATCTGGAAGGTGGTGTTTATAAAGCCAGAGCTTTGGGGTGGAACCAGTCGGTAAAGTGCTGATGTTCCTGATGGTCACTGACCCTCTTGAGTTGTTCCTGTAACTGCTCCCTCAGAGACTCAGGGCAGTTATGGAGCTGGCTCGTCAACTCATTGTACCCATCCTGAAGCCTCTCCAGGGCTTCCCGCTCCGCGTCAACATTAGCCCTCTCCTAGAAAGAAAACACACCATCCGGGGAAGGGGAGAGAAAGAGAACACACAGCTCAAATCCACGCCATGCAGAAGCGTCCGAGGTTAGAGGTCACAAGAGTGTGGGTGGAGCCAGAAAGGATGAGCTCTAAGCCTTATAAAACACTGCGTGGCACTGGACTGTAGGCCGTCAACAGGGCCAAACAGACTTCTGTTCTCAGGCATTTCTTGGTCAAAGACTTCAGATGCAATGATTTTCCAATGGTATGTGCTTTTTAGATGAGATTATGCTATATCAGATGACAGGAATTGATTTGTTTGGGATCGTCGGCTAGTTTGAAGCTGGCCTTTTTCTTTCTTTTATCATAAAAAGGAAGATTTGCAATAGCATCTTACTTAATGCATCAGATATATATTTTAAAAAAAGTTAGTCCTCTGATATTTCTAAGGCTAGATGTTGAGCTAGTCTACTGCACATGGCATTCATGCATTGTGTTCTTTCCAGACCAACATTCATAGCACGTCAAAACATCAATAAATCAAAGCACAGACAGAACCAGATTCTGAACTTTAAAAAGCCATTTTCAAGGCTTATAGGGGAATTTTCTGTGTTTGCACAAACACTGCACAGATTGTTTGCAGTCAAGATCAATCTAGTACAAATTACAGCTGGTCTGGTAACATGACCGCGGTGGTAGCCAAACCCCCGTAAGGGAAACGGGTTCAAAGCAAACAAACTGATCAATAAAGATCTGAATGAACAAACCAGTTCTGAAAAACCAATCCAAAGTATTGCACAGTATCTTTGAATAAAATATTTATCTTTTTATATCATTAATTAATCAAAGTTTTTTTTTCTCTGTGGAACACAAAATTAGAATTTGTTGTTGCTCTTTTCTAAACAATTACAATGAATGTGGACTTTAAGCTCTTTAAGGTGCACAGGTACCATACAAGTATTATAAAAAATGTACTTGATATAAAAATCTATGAAGTTTTATCAGCTATAATGCTTATTGAAAACTGCAAGGATCTATTCCAGTTGAGTCAAATTTATTTTGTAAAGTGCATTTTTTTTTATAATACATTGTTTAAAACCAACTTTATAGAAAATCATGATGTTACTATATCTAATATCTTAATGTCGTCATGCCATATAGTTGCATTTAGAAGATTAGAGCCGAGCTATAATATACAGTAGTTTACATTTTGCGATGATACAAGTAATCAACCAGTTGAGATTTGCTATTGATTGTTCCAAACCTGTATAAGTTTCTTTTTTATGTTGAACACAAAAGAATTTTGAAGAACCAAAAAGTTGTTGGTCCCCATTGATTTCTGTAGTAGTGAAAGAAATACTATGGAAGTCAGTGGAGACCATCAACTGTTTGATTATCAGCATTCTTCAAAATATCTTCTTTTATGTACAACATAAGAAAGAAACTCATTTTTGGGTGAACTATCCCTTTAACAACTTAAAATAAGCACTTAAGTGTCCTACCACATTAGTTGTACTGACCACTTTTATGATACTTTTATGTTGCTTTTGCATCCTTTTTGAAGCTTGAAGGCTTCAGTTCCCATTCACTGTAATTCTATGGGAAAGAACGCCAAGCACAGTGTTCATAATTTCCCCTTTTGCATTCCAGAGACTGAAAGTCAGTCTTATGAAAGTCATAATTTTCATTTTTTGGTGAACTATTCCTTTAAGGATCTCTCAAAGTGCATAATACTTGGCGGAATCGAAAAAGGAGACTAAAACACCCAGAGAAACCCAGAATCTGATGGATAAGAAATAAAAGCTGGAATTCTGAAACAGCGTGCAGGAAAAATCTTTCTAAAAAGACACCCACTGTAAGTCACCAAGTCTCACACCACTGGAGCTATTGTCCCTCAAAGCCAGCGTGCTAATCCCAAAGCCTGAGTTTGCGCTAAGCGAAACAGTTTTGAACCCGAGGGGGCGAGCAGAAGAAATGGAGAGACTGTGAGTGCGGAAAAAAAGCAGTGAGGAGATTAGAGGTTAATGAAGGCTTGTTAGTGTTGCCAAGCTTTGTAGAGGACCTGATGAGAACCACCACAAAAGGAGAGGAAAAAGACAACACCTCTTGTGAATGAATGCTTGATTAGACAGGACCTTGGCTTTCTGCCCAAACAAAACTAGTGAACTGCATTTAAATGTGACTATCGTCTTCAGATCCTCTATTGTGGAATGTAGAATGACCAGATGTAATGTGAAGCGCTTTGGCTAGTTTGAATGAGCACTTTTGCTCTTTCGCTTTTTTTACCTGGGGATGGCAATCGAGACCAGAATGGGCCTTGAGTGGCCATCCGACAGAATGGCATGCTTTTAAGGTATGTCAGAGACCAGAAAAGGCTGTTCAGTCCAGAGAGGCTCAACAGTTTAAAACACAAAACAGTCGTTTGGGGATTTGAAACTCTTAACAATTAAGGTGCAGTCACATTTCAGCAAAATTTCATGTTTGAAGAACAGCTTACAATAGCCGCGTTTCCATTACCCTTCAAACTGCGTACATTGAAATTCCGAACTGAAAATGCACCTAATGGAAACACATCAATTTTGCGAAAACTCCCATATATCGCAAAAAAATTTTACGCTCGCATGAGGTGTTTTTTCAGGCAATTCGAAAAAAGGAATATATCACAAAACTGCAATGGAAACCGGTTTTTTTTTCATATTTACAGGTCACCTGGCGTACATAAAAGTAGATAACCTTGGATAACCCCGTTTACACTGCATACGTCTGTAGTGCATTACGGCTGCGACATGGCCACCAATGCTTGTGTTTACACCCGCTGCGCCGCGGCACATTTCAGAAGCATCCCAGAAGCAACTCTCAGCGCTGCTTCACTAAAGATAAACGCATACGTCTACTTTGATTGAAATGAATGGCTAGTGTAGTGGATGCAATATACGTAAATCTACCAACATCCGTTACCATGACTTATCACAAGAGGAAAAAATTAAGTTTTAGCCGCATAACATCGGTTAATGGAAACGCCATCAATTCGCAATAGGTTTTTTATCGACATTTATAAAATATTTTGAGCAAATCTGTAATGAAAACCCGGCTAATGAAGTCACTTTTAAACCAAGCACACCAACTGAACCAGTTGCAAAATCTGCGTGGGGAAATCTTTTACCCTCATGTGAAATTCGAAATGATGGATTTCGACAATGAAAATTCACCAAGCAATGCTAAATATGACCTCACCTTTATAGAAACATTTTTACTTCTACATGAAAAATGAATGCGTTAATGTGTTCTGAATATGGACAATTTCATTCTGTGAGCTTTTATGTGGTGTGTGTATCCTACCTTGTCTTTCTCTCTCTGGATGGTGCTCTCCAGTTCACTGAGTTTGCGCTGCAGCTGGTTGATAATCTCTGTCTCGGCCTCGATTTGCTCCAGCTCAGCCTGTCTCTCTCCCTGCAGCAGAGCTCTTTCCATCTCCGCCTGTCCAGATCAACACGTCAGATAGAGCAATTCTCACACAGGCCACATAAACACACCCGAGAGCTCCATCTGACATTCTCTGTTCCACTACGCATCACTTCCCTCTGCTTCCAACTCTTATCCACTATAATTAGGAAAGGACTTCCTGTATATCCTTCAGTGTATTTAACTATATAAAAATGTTTATAAGAGCGGCTCACCTCCTGTTTGGACTCCTGAAGTTGCTGCTCCAGTTCTGTGATTCGAGCTTTGAGCTCATCTACCTTTGCCAGCACTCGAACCCGCTCCTCCTCCAGGTATCCCAGTTCCAGACGGCCAATGCTGCCCGATCCCAGAGAGTCCTCTGCCTGAATACAATTCACACACAGTTTATATGATGTACTGTTTATATACACTACTGCTCAAATATTTGTGGTCAGTAAGTACTTTTATAATGCTTTTGAAGTCTCTCATGCTCACCAAGGCTGTTTATTTGATGAAAATACAGTAAAAACAGTAATATTATGAAACATTATTACAATTTAAAAGAATGGTTTTCTATTATAATATATTTTGAAAAGCATTTTAGTCCTGTGATGGCAAAACTGAATTTTTAGTGTAACATGATCCTTCAGAAATCATTCTGATATGCTGCGCATGCAACGTTTCTTATTATTATCAATGTTAAAAACAGTTGTGCGACTTAATTTTCATGGAAACCATAACACATTTTCATGATTCCTTGATAAACAGAAAGTCAAAAGAACAGCATTTATTTGAAATAGGAATCTTTTTTAACATTATGAATTTCTTTACAGTCACTTTTGAATAAAAATATGAATAAAAGTATTCATTTCCAATTTCCAAACTTTTAAACTGTAGTGTAACACTACAAATATATCATACGAAAAGCACATTCATATTGTATAAATGATTAAAAAGGTAGATACTAACATTGCTAATGGTGAAAACATATATAAAGTGTTCCGATTTAAAGAAGGAAAGGGAGTTCGACCTGTCCATTTTGTCCATTTAACAGAGCTGTTGGGGTCCGTCCGTCCTGCTGCGCACTCTCAGTGCTACTCCTGTCTCCCTTTAGGTTCTCCTCTTGGCTTTCACGATGTCTCTGCACCACCCTTAGGGAAGCGTTGCTCACACTGTCCAAGGAAGGACATCTGACGTTAAGCCCGTCCCTCGAGCCAAGCCCAGAGACGCCCATCCTACCCAGATCTCCCGCCGGCCCGTCGCCCTTGTTGTACTCGGCACAGAGGTTCAAGATTGTTTCCAGTCGCTGCCGTTCCTAAAACACAACGGACATGAGCTATTAGATGAGTCAGGGGTGGCAAAAATTGCCCTCACGTTATCTAATTTCCTCTGCGCCAGCCTCTGGCACTCAGCATCCTACTGATGCCAATCTGAAGAAAGAGGAGAGGAAATAAACAGAAGCACCACTGTCTGGAGAGACTCTTATCGGGACCCTGTCCTCAAGCGAGAGGACGCGGCCCTGCTTTAAGCACATACAAACTCCCAGCGCTTGTCAGAACAAGCCCTCTCTTACGGCAGACACTGAAACAACTACGCAACTACACAGAACTCATGTACTGTCAGCCTGGGGGGTCTGAATGTGTCAACAGCTGCCCTCTTAAGCCAGTCGGGCCCACCTCACAGACACATTCTCAGTGTGACCTTTGGCCATTTCATGCCATTTGCCCAGACCGAGGCACCGACTCCACTGAGTAACACAGTCTGTATGGTACACAAATGGAAAGAATAAACTTTTCATGTTTTTACGTCATGTTAATATCTAGAAATGCTTGTCAGATTGGCTGTAAATTTTTCTGAGGTTACAATGCATTTAACAATGCTGTTTGGGTCATCTGAATGCACTATATATTAATGCAATTTATTAATACAATTACGTTTTTTTGTTAAATTATGCAGCTTTATTACTGGGAAACCAATGAGCACTTTGGAATTTGCATATAGTTGTAATGGGCACCATGTGTTATAGTACACATGTGCCCATTAACTCTATATAGGAAACTTAATATATATTTTCCATTTGAGATCATGTAAGGGTTGTCTTTATTGTTTTAATTTTATATGGTACTATTCAAAATGTGGCCTTTTTGAAAGAAATTAATTCTTTATTCAGCAAGGATGCATTAAATTGATCAAATATGATAATAAAGACATTTATAATGTCAAAAAGGTTTCTATTTCAAATAAATGTTGTTTTTTAAACTTTCTATTCATCAAAGAATGCTGAAAATATTAAGCAGCACAACTGCTTTTATAATCATAAGAAGCATTTCTTGAGCACCACATTGGCATATTACAATGATTTCTGAAGGATCACGTGACACTGAAGACTGGAGTAATGATGCTGAAAATTCAGCTTTGCCATCACAGGGAAAAAATACATTTTAATTAAATAATACTTATTTTTTTAAATTCTAGTAATATTTCACAATATTATTGTTTTTACCGAATTTAGATTTTTCAAGTATAAAAGAAGTTTTTTCCAAAACATTAAGAATTCTTACCAACCCCAGACATCTATCTTTTGAGAGCTGCTCCGTCACAAACCCCCGACTAGAAAAACCTTGCTGTAGGACATACAATAATTACACATGATTAAATCCACACCAGAAAAGGAAGATAAACAAAAAGAGGCACGCTGCTACTCCAGCAGGTTGTGTGTGCTCTCTTTGATGTGCTCTAGAGACTGGATGAGCTCAGTGTGATTTGTGGAGGACTGTGATGAGTATTCTCCAAACCCTTAATTAGCTCAACCTGTAATCATCAGCCTCCTGAATCTCCAGGGTCACATTGAAACGAGAAACATGGCTGAGGGGAATCAGTTTAGACTGTTCCCATGGCCCTTTCCCATCAAACTACCAAATTACCTCAGACAGAGAGATGCTTCTATATCAAAAATTAACTAAATCTTTCATCCAACTTACCAAACTAAAATGATTTTGGCTTGAATTTAAATTGGTAGCTGAGAGAGTCCATTAAAACTGATCCGTTGACATAAATCACTTAAAAATCCACAGCACAGGAGAACGCTCAATCACTTATCAGATCCGCATCAACATGTCTTCACCTGACAGACCTGTTTCATCGAGAAAATTACACATCTGAATTACGAAAAGCCCCCGTGCTTTCATTCCTCAGGCTCCGTAACAACCCACAGACCCTTCTAATACTGAAGAGGTGATCTCACAGAAAGTTGCTCACCAACTACAATTTGCACCAACAATTGCTGTATACTATAACAGCTCATTATCTCCGGTTAAGAGCCAAGAGCAACATCTTAAATTTTAGAGATTTTTCGGTCAAAAACGGTCAAGACCTTGAACACAGATGTTCTAAGTTCTAAAAGAGACGTTTAGACCCAGTTTAAACCAGGACTATACAACAGACCCCAATGTGCACAACACTCATTTATGAGTTTAAAGGGCCCTCTGTAGTTGTCATTAGTAGGTCCCCTCAGGGAAAGGAAATTGTTTAAGATCAGGGTGGCACACCCTGAGTTTTAAAAGTGCTCTGAAACACACAGAGGCTGAGGGAACTGTAGGAGGGAGTCTAATTATTTGATCTGCTTCCGTCCAGGCCTGTTGAGCCTCTGATCCTGGAGTTTACAGCCAGGCTTGATGAGTGTTTCCAATCAAAGCCAGTGCTACCTGAACACTTCTAAAGCAATATGTTGCTTCATTGTGCTGTAAAAGGAGCCCTAATACAACACATGAATGAATACGTTCACGCTCAAGTCATGTAACAACATATTAAATACCTAGATGAGGAATATATGACAGAATGTATCAGTCTAATACATGTAAAAGTACAATATTAGTAATTAAGCACTAGTTATATATACTTTCATATGCACAGTACAACTAACTCAAATAAAAGTATGTATTGAAAACCACACACTCACCCTCATTATACGTATCTGTACTTTTACTCAAGTACTTGATTTGTGTACTTCGTCCACCACTGTTCAGGTGTGTCCATTTCAGGAAAACAGCAAAGGTTACACTTACACTGCTCTGCAAAGTGGCCAATTCTCAGTTTATACTCAAATCTAGTTAAACAACATCACAACCTTCTTAATCTGGCATGGGGTTCAAATTTCAGTAGTATAATTTAACATGTAATTGTTATTAGGGTTGGGCCGATAGACGATGCCATCGTACATCGCCAATGGCTGACAGACATCACGATGTTAAGCTGACTTTCATGTACTGTAATGCAACAGGCTACCGCTAGCAAGCGGCTAACCTTTTAGTGGCTCCATATAACGCATTATTTGTTTCATGCTTCGGGCACACCCCTAACCCAGCCCCCCGATGTCATCGTCCATCACGATGTTTCACTGTAGACATCGTCCGATGCCAATTTGGTAGACATCGCCCAACCCTAATTGTTATCATTTAAAATTTTATATCAAATTAAAAAAACTCTGAAGTTCCATTCTAAACCTCTGAATTATCATTAACATTGCTCTCTATTGTCTAATAACTTTTAGTTTTATTTTCTGTCATTGTTCAAAGCCAGTGATCAGTAATGTACATCCAATAAATGTCTAACAGCAATAATAATAATAATAAATGTACATGAAATAAATATTTTATATCATAAATATAATTAATTAAAAAATATATATATATTTTATAGATATACTTTTGGCCTTTTGTGCAATACATCATATAGTGTAATTCGTAAATTATGTTAAAGTAGATCAACCACAATATGATGCTGAATGTAAAAATGGGTAGAAAAATCATATTAATTCCAAAATTAATTAAACTGAAAGATAGACAAACAGTGTTCAAGAACATAAATATGAAATCAATATGAAACTTTTCAGTTCTGTTTCACTGAAGAAGAAAAAGAAGAACACAGAAAATGACTGCCCTTTAAGTGGCCTGGTTAGGAATTTAAAAATGCCTGATTCATACCATCATACAAAAAAAAAAAAAGCAAATCTGTGTCAACTGTTGTACGAAAAACGTCTCTCTCCACAGTGAAAATGTCTCAGGTATTGAACATAGACGGTCATTAGTGACACTAGAAGCCCAAATAAGAACTGATAGATAGCATTTGGAGAAACATTCCAGCTCTTTTATTTACGCTCACTTATTTGTATGCATTCCAACCACACATGGACCAATCAGAGCTCAGGAGACACGGGCTTTGCCTTCTGATCTCAGCTCTTACATTCCACTGTCTTCCCTCTGTCTGGAATGACACACACACACAAACGTACAGCTCCTCAAATCCTCTTTCAGAGCCTCTCAAACCCCCTGCCATGTAAGAGGCTCTCTCCTGCTCCTCCTGACCTTTTTCTGTCTCTAAATGTGTGCTGGGGTCACGGTGCCACTCTTACTGCTGTGACGTGCCCGGATTGTTTGAATACCTTTAACCAGACAGTCTTCAACTGCTTCCATTCTGGGCACCCAAAGCAAACATCCAAGAGATATTAAAATGTGCACTGTCAGCACTGTCACATGTCTATTTGCATACATTTGCCATTAAATAAAGTTAATATAAAAAGATTTAAATAATCAAAAATTATATTAAATATTATATTATTTATTAAAAAAATACATTCACACACACACACACACACACTTTGAGCTGAAGTGTGTAATTTCTGTGCCTAAAATGAATTGCAAAAATAATAATTTCAGGTTTCCTGAATACCCATCTGCCATTGGTTGAACAGATAGTCCCGCCCCAAACTCTTGCCACTAGTCAAGCCAATATCATTCACACGATCACTCACATTTTTGGCGAAATTAAACCTATAAATGCTTTCCTTATAGATACAGCTAGAAAGATAAAAATTTTTATTTAATGTGCACGGAGGAATAAAGAAGTCAAAGCTTTGCCTGCAGAAAACCCACAGGGTGAAAAATATGCCAGTATTTTCAAACACAGACTACAGACTAAACCAAGAACAGTAGCATTAAGCCCTCCAGTAAACATCCTGGGACGACATTTCTGTTGCTGAAATATGTGATATTTCAAACAAAAACAACTGATTTCATATTGAATGTCTTTGAAAAGTAGCACATCACCACAAACCAAGTCAACAGGACCAGATGCATCTGTTCATGTTGCACTTCAGCATGATGGGAACCTCTCATTTCACACAGAGTTTGAGGAAAAACAGCTTACATTTTTGGAATAGAAAAAAAAATGTCTAGACACACAGCTGTGAAACATGGGAAACTTGCTTGACCCTCAAAATTAAGATCCAGAGTCCAAGAAAAAGGCCATTGGGAATTT